CACTCTTGTGAGATTACGGCGAAGTTACACGGTGCGAAATCACTTTAGAATCATCATCGAAAGTTCGGAAATCATCGCGATTCCGATCGACATGAACGTGAGATCATTTCTCGAATCGCGCGTGGCTGACGCGAGAATCCCGACGCGAAAATCGCCGGCAAGCCGGCGATTAAGAGCGGAAATATCTCGCAGCGGATAAGCTCGATGGCGCGGAATCTTCCGTCGAGCAAAGCGTGGTGCGATGCGAGCGCGCAGAAGCGAGTAATTAAATTGACCGTAATACCGTAGGCTATCTGTAGTCAATCCGTCAATTTCGCGATTCGCTATCGCGGGAAAATTTTTCGCGATTCGCGCTTCGCACGCAGTATCGATGCGCCGCGCGATATGTGCACACGCGATGTATATGCGGGCGTCATTCCAAACGATTGATCGCAATTGACGAACGACCGGCGTGAATGCATCGCGCCGATTGCACCGAACCCTCCTTTACCGCTATGTTCATTCTTTCGCACTGTTCGCCTGTATAATTTTAGCAAAGAGATTTTCCCGCGTTTGCGTTACGCGGCTCGCATTTGTACACGATTTGCGTGGTGGCCTTCGTGCGATTACATCGAAAATGTCACGAGCACTTTTGATAGAAATCGTAATGCGGCTTTCAATTGTAATTTACGTGCGTCCCTTTCAGCCTCTTTGCTCCAATCTCAGCGACATTCCGTATTGCTTCCGTATTGTTTCTCGAATACTCGTTGTTCGTCCCCGCTGTAATAATCCGAACGCGCGCCTGTAAAATAGTGCGATAAATCAGTCACGCGTTATCCACTCGCGATGATGTTAATGTGCAATGTTACAAACACGGGCGTGACGAACGATAACGGATGAATGGCGCTTTTATGATGAAGTTAGCTTTTACGACGTTTAATCCGGAGGGAGATGCAGCTAAATGAAAATTGATAGCCGGAACACAACAAGCAAGGGTAATGCAACAAATTATCGATCCATTAGTAACGATCCGTCGCCTCGCGACAGTAAGTGCTACGACACATTTAACACTCGCATCGGTAATAAACGCATCGGCCTTCCTTCCTCCGTTACTTTATTAACGTTGCACTAAACACACGCGCACGCGCGCGCGCAATTGGTTCGCATCGATCGATCACACGCGCATAATTTTACTTCTTAGGTAGCACTTTAATCATTATAGAGGATCAGTCATCGTGAGTTATCGTCAGTCATTAATGAGCGAACATCCCGATTCGTTAATAAATAAAACAAGCACTGAATATACATGCAGACAAAGGATTAGCCGAAGGAGCTAAAATATAGAGCTGTGGTAGCTAAGATGTGTCTTTGAAATAGGGACAGCTAATGTCGTTGCTATCAAATCTAAATTTATTAGCTCTTCGAAGTTATTCGTTGCAGTAAGAGATATTAGCTGCTAGAAACAAATGACATGTAGCTGAATCCATTATGCTACCGTATTCTTCGCGATAGAACGTAATAATATTTGCAGCAAGACTGAGAATCTCAAGAAAAATGATATATCCTCCGTTATTCAAGCGAAGTAGTTTTAGCCGCTTTAAATTTTTATGATTATACAATTACCGGCTTTATATAACTATGTTTGAGGTGAGATACACAAAGGTAAAGTTAATTTTATTTAGACTTACTTTATGTACGATTAAAGACAATGAGGTTATAAAATATGTTATATTTTCAAAAGGTATATGTACGCCCCAACTACTTAATAATTCAGATAATTTATCTATACTTTTCATTGGATATATAATGTTTTCACAACACATATATTACGGGAATCACCTCTGGAAAATCGTGAAAGCTATGAGCGCTGAAGCCATAGCATGTAGCAAGGTCCCAGAAACAATTGCAGTCCGAACCTCGGGATTCACGCACGCGTTACACTTACCAATAGCTGCAACTTTCTTAGCTACCCATGTTAAGATGCGCTTTTGATTTCAAATAATGAAGTTGTACTTTGTAATGAATATATTTTACCTCTGATTCACCTCTGACCAATTTTTAGCAATGACAGTAAAACAGTCAGTCTTTCAGCCAAGTTCGAATCAGCTACCCACTTATTTAGCTGATATCGCTAAATCATTTTTCTGCATGTAGATGCGCCTACTCTACTGATGGTACTGATGGTACTGAGAACGGCGACATTTTTTCGAGGAATGAAGCCCCGGCAGATGATCGAGCGGAAAAGTTTGTCGGCGATTATGAAAGTGCATTCCGCAGCGACGAAGCTGTTGCGCTGTGTGCGCGCGAGCAATTTGTCATCGGAATATTCAGCGTGGAGAACACGGCAATTGTACGTAGTTCGAGAAAGCGAATAAACACGGGCGGGATGATTACTCATAGTTCACGCGAGGCGAATAACGCGGCTGCTACATCTCGGCGGGGGCGCGCGCGCAGGAGTACGCAAAAATTTCATACACGCACAGCAACTCGTCCCGCTGAGCTTTACTCGCTCGCGGATCGCACCGCCATTGTATTAGAAAGGAATTTTTTGTGCGAATCTCATTCATTAGACGGTCCGTGTAGTTTTATGCTACTACGCCGACGCCCGAGAGACATCGCAATTCACAAAGCGACAGCTCGCGTGAAATTGAATTCACTTTAATTTCCTTCCCTCTTTTCTTAACGCCGGGAATGTAGCTCGTCGAGCCGAGGCGCGAGTATCCCGGAAGATCTGACTCTTTCTTTTCCTTCTTCCTCCCGCCTTTTCAACAAGTTAAATCGGGACAAATATCCCAGATCAAGATTGACGCGCCAACAGAAGAAAGTTAATTATCACGTAAACTATCTTATTGTAACTCCGCCGATGTAAAATCACACAAGTCACACGAAGTATTCTACGACTAGTCTCGATAAATCCATCGGATTGAAACTATCGTGACTGTTCGATTTCAGATGAAATAGAAAGATTCTCCATCCTCCTCCGAGAAATTGAAGTAGCCCATAGGTCGGAGGCTATCGGTTCGGATTTCATTTTTGCCCCTGCAAAATTACGCTACGCCATTTGGCTCGACCGACTTCACGTGAAAGAAGAGGACATGCGCCACTTTGTCGTTAATCGAAGAACGATGACTTTACGCAACTATCGGGCAGGACGAGTCGAGAAGCGTTTAAATACAGTCCGAGAGTATAATTAGATTTAATTTGAAGAAGTGCACTTCTTAAAATTAAAGAAACGATCGAAATTAGCAATCGGAATCAATAGCCGACCATTACTCCCTTATTTTGAGAAATGAAGGGACTTAAAGCTTAATAGATCGCGAGTGAAATCTCCTTAGAGGAACGGCGTGCGACATATTACGCATTTGAATCTCATATTCTGAGATTCGCTGGCCATTTCTGCGCACGACTAAATTGGAACTAAATTACATTTTCGCATAGAGCTCAACATTGATCAGAGCTACGTAACTGCTTAGCGTGTCAACGTAATTGGAGTTTCTTTCACTTCATGGTGTGCCGCTTGATGCACGTCTCGCGTGCATTTCTATCGATTCGATATCGTCGCGAGATATTTTCTACCGTGCAACCTCAAACAGAAACTGGCTGCAGTATATTCTCTGCATTTGTGACATTGAAGATTGCATAATTGATAAAACGCTTAAAATATTACGCGTAGGAACAACCAACACTCGTTACGTGCTAGGTTGAGATTCTGTAAAGTCGACACTCTCTCGTAAAATACTTAACCACTGACGTTTCGTTGTATAATTCCAAGTTGTAATCAGGTCAAAATCTAATAAACCAGACGGCAAAATAATTAGGTCGCCGCCTGCTGTTGGACGAAGAAGCGCCAGTAGGATTCCCTGCTGCTCGTATCTCGTTCTCGGCAACGTGGATGCTCTAAATTTTCGTCGCAGTCTGTAACATCTCTATTCGGAGAATTTTTGAAATTCTCAGCTGCTGAATACTCGATTTCAATCGATATCCACGACATTCTCATTTTGCGAAAGAATTTTTATTGAATTCGGCCGACAAGGCGCATTTCTCTGTCGAGACAGCAGCAAAATAGGGTTAAGGAATTTCGCTATAAAGCAGTTTTAAGCAACAATTTTTATCGTTACCTTTACGAGGCAATATTGTTTTACAACTAGAGATATGCGAACTCGAATCGAATCGAATCGAATTACATTCGATTCGATTCTAATCCGAATAATTCGAAAATTTCGAATCACGAAGATTCGAATACGAATCAAATACATTAGCGTTTGCGCGTATCAGCTATAAAACGAGCAATCTGAACCTGTATGTTTGAACCCTTAACTTGTAATTAACTTAACTTATAATTAATAACTTAATTATAAATTACTTTAAATATTTAAATATATATTTTACTTTAAGATGATATTACAATATTACAATATCAAGATGATATTACAATATTCTCTTTCATATTAAAATCTTCTATTATTATTTGCATGTTTAATAGTCATGTTAAATTTTTTAATGATTCGATTCGATTTCATTCGATTTCATTCGACATAAAAATTCTTGATTCGCACATCTCTACTTACAATCCAATCGTATCGCTCCACCATTCTGTTTCATATTCTAACGCCTGTTGTTATTTTAATCTTTTCTTTTATTTAATTTATTTTGCCAAAGGCATTGTCAAGTGCTCTTTCTTTGAGAGCTCTTGTCTGTCGTGAAATCAGTCAGTCGGCAGGCAAAAGGATAATGGAAGGTAGGAATTAAAGAGATTTTGCAGAATCTGGTGCCATTGTCGTAATTGGTTTTACATGTAGTCCTTAATAATGAAAATGTATGCGGTCATTTTTCTCCCGGTATCGCTTCTCCCTAACAGTATAAATTCAGATGAAAAGATCGAAGGACCTAAAACTCATGTAATTTTTATCTTGGCTATAAGCGAACAGAGATGGGTTTTCTAACTCATATTACACGTCCCATTACACCCCCCCCCATCCTTCGGATGGGCTCGTCAATCACGGCGAAACGCGATTTTGCAGAGAAGCTGAAAACGTTCCGCGTTGGGTCGCGGGATAACGGAGAATCGCTACCGCTTCTGTCGCTGCTGCTGCTGCTGCTGCTGCTGCTGCTGCTGCTGCTGCTGCTGCTACTGCTACTGCTACCGTCGCCGCTGTTGCTGCTGCTGCTGTTGCTGTTGCTGCTGCAACTGCTCTGTCGCTGAGTCCGCTTACTGCTCAACTCGTCCGCCGGAATCGAGCGAGGATTCTCATGCACGCCGTGAACTTGCGAGGCATCCCGCGGTCGAGAGGAGAGAAGGAGCATGACGTAGTCGTCGGCGAGGGGGGCTCTTGGGATGCTCCAGACTTCCGGCTAGGGTCGTCATATGGAGGGGCAGGACGTAACCACCGCGGACGGCAATCTGTTTCGAAACTTCACTGTTCACAATTCCATCACCGCCAGCCGCGGTACCGGTACCGACGATTTCTTTCGGGGCTTTCCCGGCAAGAACTCGCCCTACACCACTGCTCAGGTGAGCCGCGTCACCGCAGGGTGGAATCCCTATCTTTGAAAATTCATCGTCCGCCCGCCACCCAGACGCTCATTCTAGCTCGATACGAACAATTCTGTACTGTATCGAGGGATACGTACAAATGTAGCCGTGCGATCATGCCAAATGTCTGTCAAAATACAGGATAGGATCTTTCTTGATGATCATTTTTCTGTCTCTAATCCCGGCCGTGCTTTTACCTCAGCAAACAACGTGACCTTGGTAACGATTCAATCATGTATCTGGCTTACGAAGGAAGCCCTTTCCCAGCCTAAATAAATATTTACGGAAAAAGCGAATCCCACCTATCAACCGCGATTGGAAATTCATGAACAGTATAACAACAGTAACAACAACAACAACAACAACAACAACAACAACACATTTACAAACGATGATACATGTATGATATAGTAAAGCGCGGTACCGAATATTTTCCTTTTAATCGCGTTACGTGTCGCAGAATAAAATTAATTGTCGCACGAATGCAAACCTGTACGGACTTATTTATTCCCTCATTTAGCGTGCGGAGCGTTTCTCTGCCGCTGTCGCTGCGTCCTGATAATCGATAATCGATAATCTACGGGAAGAGTAATTACCAGATAGTTCTGGCGAAATACGCGATATTTCGATGATCAAAGATACATTAGGGAGAAATACTTATATACTGCTATTATCTATAATATTCACGATAGATATTTGTAACAACAAATCTCCGGCGAAATTTTGTTCGCGCGAACGGGATACCTTGATGTTCAGAACATTCTCTCTGTATATTATAAAGTTACAGCTCAACGTTGTCCGGATGACAACCGATACCGTCGCCATTTAAAATCCTTTGTGCCGAATGTTGTTCCGATAACGACTTCTAAAGAATTATAATTAATATAACGAAATATTAAATAACGTCGCGCTGAGAGATATGAAAATTCGCGAACGATGTGCGATAATAAGTTAACAAGACACGGAATAAGCCGCGATTATTACAGTTTATTTGGAAAAGAACGCATCTTTCTTTCTATTAACTGCCATATTGGCCGTGCGCCAGAATGTACTGCAGAATTTACTGCTCTTATCTACAAAATTTATTTGCTCTTACCCTTACCACCACATTTTGAGGTGAACTTTAACCGTCTGGATCTGGCACATGTGTGTGTATATGTGCGTAGAAATTTTTGTACACACGTTTCCACTCCAAAATGCACAATCTCCTCAGAAAGATGTGTAAGAATGCCGAGAGAAGTAGTTTAACAGAAGCGTTCACGTGTTTACGTGTTCAGGCAATACTCATCGCCTTGGTGCTCGGCAGCATCATCGTCGGCACTGTGATCGGGAACATCTTGGTGTGCGTCGCGGTATTCCTTGTTAGAAAGCTACGTAAACCTTGCAACTACCTGCTGGTCAGCCTGGCGGTCAGTGATCTTTGCGTAGCCCTTCTGGTGATGCCGATGGCGATGCTGTACGAGATATCAGGCAATTGGTCCTTCGGCTGGATCATGTGTGACCTCTGGGTCAGCTTCGATGTACTCAGTTGCACCGCCAGCATCCTCAATCTCTGCATGATATCTGTGGACAGGTGAGTACGTCTATGTACTGCGAGTTAATCAACAAACCTCCAACTTGATCGAGATTTCGGCAAGTCGCAGGGTCGATTCTCACGCGTCGATCGAATTAGCTGCTATCGTATTAGCTGCTACTGGTTGTGGTAGTAGTAATAATGTCAGTGGCAACGATGAGATAGTAGAGCTATAATACGCTTCAAATGTGCCGATACTCAGATATCCGGCTATATTCGAATTAATCGGTTGCTTGAATTATCTGATCCGAGATTATCTTATATTTAAATATCCGAGTTATATCTCAACACTGTGAACACTATAAATAGTAACATTAGTAATCGATAAGGCATGAAAAAAAAAAAATATATATATACATATATATATGAAGAAATATTTAATAAAAGAAAATAGATCCAAAATAAAAGGGGAGGAAATTACGTTGGAAAGCCAGATATTAAAATATTCATGCACAAAGTATATTCGAACAGTAGAACTAGCCTGAGATCTGATAAGCGATGCTATTCCGGGTAAAAGCCCTGAATAAACAAAGTTTCTCTTCCTGTCGATAAATATGATAATCTTGCATGAAACGTAAGGTACAACAATACAAAACATACGATAGCGAGGCGAATCGATGACGCGTGACTCGGCTACTCTCTCGCGCGGGTTAGTTGGTGGTTACTTGATGGCTTCAATCAATGAAGCCTGATTAACGACGCTTTATCTCCCCGGTGATTATAATATAGACAGGCATGAGAACAAAGCTGTCACACCTGAGACCAGTCGCGAATCTGTTGTGCATAATGAAAAGCTCGATGAAGAGAAAGGACGTACGTACGTACGTGTCATGCGAGGGCAGAGTTAATGACTTTCCTTTCGCTTTTGATTATTGGAAGAAAAGAAGACGGGAGTCCGTGCGATATCCAGAAAAGTGGATTCGACTCGCGATCAGACATATTTGCATAATATATGTAAATATCGGGCACGAGCGACGCGGACACAGTCGATCAAATAATCTGTTCATAGCGCTTTGCTCGATTTCATCCCGTCCTGTGTCCTATTTGTCCCTGCAGCGGAAACGCTCTACATCGCTCAAATATGCGAGTTTAAATCTTTAGCATCAAGCGAACCCATTACTCAACATATGCAATGTAAACATGCGTGGTCGAGCATATTTCGTATTTTTAATTTCTTTTTTGCACTGACGTATTTTATGATGAACAGATGCATTTTATCTCGCGAATAGTTTATATATCCGTGGTATGATTGAAATTGTTGCGGGCGGTGCCGAGAAGCGAAGCGACGGACGTTTTCCGAACGTGCCATCGCATTGTTTCGAATGCCTCGGCTATGTTTGCCAATCTCGTTCTCGCCGTTTCAACTCACACTCGTTCAGTTAATTGCACGAGCACAGAGAAACCCCGACCCTTTCTATCGTACACAAAGCTCACACGTTTGTATCATCGGGAAGCTTGCTCTCACCTACACCTGCATGCCGGCGATAGAGGACAGAAACAACGGGTTTCTTGTCATTCCTTTGACATCCCGACGGTATCGCCCCTTTATGCTCCATTCATAAGTGTTAGATAAGTTTGGAGGAGATAACTTCCGAGATTTCTTTGCATATGAATAATATTAATACGTACATTTTGTTAACCCTTTAACGCCCGACTTTTTTATAAGTGTTTTAAGAATAAAATTTGAGTTCTTTTGAACTGAGACTATAAGTAGTGATAACCAAAAAAAATATCAGAATTTTATATCTACGAAAAACTACCTTTCCAGTGTAAAGTAATGTAAAGTAAAATGTAAAGTGATAGTCTACTTCTGAATGAATAAATTTGTACTTTTTTTTTGTAAATATAAGGGTAAAAATGATAAACATGGACACACTCAAAGATGGTTATCCAGATGGAAAAGCCGTGAAACAATTACACAGAAAATCAGCATCAATCGTTTACTTTTGAATAAATGAATACATGAAATTTCCCTTTTTCGTTTGTTGGTTTCGTTAGTTTGATCTTTTTTATCATTCGTCTTTTGTTTATTGGTAAATATGACTTGGATTCTAAAAGCATATACGAAATGAGCAACCTATACGGAGAAAAATGAAGGGTAATCTATACGACATAACTCTGATAGTCAGCTTGACATTTTTGAGCTGAAACTTTACTATATTTGTGAACGAAGTTTATCATTCAGAGCGTCAAGCTTACTATTTCAGAAGAATATCTTATAGATCACCATTTAGATAGTCAATCGTCCCTTCATTTTTCGCCGCATAAAAAACTGTAGGTCACCAGGTTTCACGAAAATAGGTTGATTTCTTGATTTTCGTGTCCACCATATTGGATTTGCCATTTTGAATTTCTGTATTCTTTTAATTTCACATTTTGCATCTGAGGAAGCTTCCGAATGTATAAAATTATAACAGATGCCAATCTATTCATTTATAGTGCACTTCTAGATGTCAGTAACAACGTTAACTATGCCTACTTGGAATTTAACAAAACATGATATCATTAAAACTGAGCTAAAAACAGACTAAACCGAATCTGCATACAATCTATATAACATCTTTTAGAAGAAGAATTCATCTTTACAGTGGTGCAAAAAAAACGGAAATATCTCCTTTTTTGACTAAGTTATGATTTCTTAAATGCGTTTCTGGCAACTATAGTTACCAGTAGGCGTTAAAGGGTTAAATTATTTACACCAGCATGTTCCTGTTGTATATTTTTTTCTCTCCTCTCTTTTTCCATTCCTTATGAAAAATTACATTTATCTTTTATTACAAATACATCTGTTAATATAATATTTCATATTGTACGAATTTGACACTTTCAACTTTTTCGCCAATACTGTATTTTAATCGTCCGATTGATACTCGCGCACTTGGTAGCCAGCCGTGCATTGACGTGCGAAACCGCGCTTTTCTATGTAAAAGGTACTGGGCGATCACGAAGCCGCTGAAATATGGGGTGAAGAGGACGCCACGACGAATGATCGTCTACGTCAGCCTTGTTTGGCTCGGGGCAGCCTGCATCAGCCTACCGCCTTTGCTGATAATGGGGAATGAGCATTCGTACACCGAGAACACCGGCGCTTCGCATTGCGTGGTTTGCCAAAACTTTTTCTATCAGATCTACGCTACCCTCGGCAGCTTTTATTTCCCGCTCATCGTCATGATTCAGGTCAGTGTGCCAAAAGTAGTCGACCTACATCCTGTTCTGTATTTTTACATTTCTTTCCGCTCATTTGAGATTGCTCGGCAATTTCGTCGATCGAATTTTAATGGGTATTAATAGGAAAGCAACATGTTTGAATAAAGATGCTTTAGATTTACTTGACATGGTAACCTTTCCAAGCGAGAATGTGTTGGCGCCTAAATGTCTTACAAATATCACTCTGTCAAAATTTCTATTTGCAATTCGCCGCGACCATTTTGCATATAACAAGACGTTGGTTTAGTTTAGTTTATCATCGAGCAGAACGTAAATATACATAGCGTATTCGACGTCGAAGATGTTTGGCTAATGAGGAATTAAAACAAAGTTAAACGAGTTTCCTTATCCGCAGATTGACGAATAAACAGCAATTATACCTTTTCCTTTATTTGCTCTCTCCCCTCCTCTATTTATCTATTTATCTTGCTGGAAAGTTAAGTTTACGATTGAATGTGTCGCGATAAAGAGCGGAATCATGTTAAACTTGTAATCATATGAGCAACGGAAAGAGGAAGAAAGAGAGAGAGAGAGAGAGAGAGAGAGGAGATATATATTGCAGTTGAAACAATTATTAACATTCATCCATGGCAAATATTGGAAATGCTATTTATTTTTGAGATTTTTGGAATTGTGTGAAGAAAAGGAAAGGGGCGCGGAGTAATGAAAATAAAAATCGCATAGAATGATAAGACACTTAATAATTTGGACACAAAGTGGACTATCTCGGTGGCAAAATTATCAAGCGATTATGGCTAAGGCGTTACAGCTTTGCTATTGACGTTGCTTACGAAATATTGAACGCGGATTAAGAGAAAGCCAATAGCGGTGTAGTTGTATTGCGCATAGATTTTCATTAATTCACGAGAACACGATCGGGGTCTCCGACTTTATAGCTCTGCACGTAAAGCACGCGCCTAGTATGTATATGTAAAGCAGTCATACACGAACGTTATCGATTGTACGATTATACGGAAAAATGAATTCGTCGCGCGTACAACATTTTAGAGCATCGAAGAATTCGATTATCGTGTCTTCGGTTATCACCCAAGTGAGACGTGAATATAAACGAGGTATTTTCTCATTCGTTCACTAGAAAATTAAAAATTCCTCGATTTGGCCAACACACGTCACATGTGTTAAATAAATATTTAAAATTGACAACTTTCTTCCTTTGTCACATAAAGTTTGATCAACAAATTTATAATAAAGTAAAAAAAAATCTCTCTTGTCAGCTTCTTGCCGCTCAATCTGGTCAAAGACGACGTCTGGAATTATCGTGTCCGAAGTGTCGTGGAAGTATCGTATCATCGTCGCGCAAAATGCATCATTTCTTTTTCTACCGATGAACCTGTCTGAATATTTATCGCGATGAATCGCAAGACGTTCAATATTCGACATTTTTCACCTTGGGGACACTTTTGCTTCCGTTCGCTGCGTATAACGCCTGGCATTTTAATAAATTGATATCGAATAAAATTTATGAGGATTAACATAATTTCGTTCAACCGCGTTCTCATGTTATTCCAAGCAAATTTGTTTTCGCATAGTGTGAAACAAAAGTATGGAATACGTCAGTATTATTGCGATAGAAATAGTCCCGTGATTATCTTACAATGTCCTGACGTGCTTCTTTAATTATACCGCGAAATTATTTCTTCGGCGCAGCTGACGACGATGACTCCCAGATAATTCATCGAGCCGCTCAACGTCGCCACTCGCTCGTGCTCGATGCGCTCTTGTCCTTTTATTTACATTAGCTCGTTATACGTCAGGCGTTCTTTTGTACCGCGCGACACGCTGTTGTTCGTTATTCGCGGCGAAGTAGAAGCCACCGTCGTGCATGAAATATGCAGCAGAATGTTCGCTCGAAATTGCTGCCGCACGCGCACATTAGCACGCAAGAATGCTCGCGGTAGAATTGGATTACACGAACCATTTTATTCGTGAATTAAAACATATATCCATAAGTTACACGTCGTGTGCGTTACATCGCACGTTGCGTTACAATCGTCACGTAACGACCGTGCAACACAATACCGCGTGCGACCCTAACTCAGAGAATGGTCGAAATATCCGATGTCACGCTTGATACCCCACGTTATCTCTAGGACTGTGCGTGATATAGTACTTGTTATTCGAAAATTAAATGTACAATTGTAGAACAAAAGAAAGTAACGGCATATACATGTATAGTGCGATGTAATATAATGTAATATTTTTTTATTCACAAATATCTGCTCGGTCGAGTGTAATATTGGCGTTACTGTACATTCTATTCTAGCAGCAAGTAGTACGGTTCGTGATATACCTGATATTTCTCTCTCTCTCTCTCTCTCTCTCTCTCTGTCTGTCTCTTACACGTCGAGTGGTATCGTATAATGCAGTAAATTAAGCACCACCCAACCTCGACGGTGGATATAGCGACTAATTGAATTTAAGATTCGAACTAAGTAAGACTAAAATGGATTCGTCCTGAGACTATGTATCAAGTTCTGAATCCTAACCGACTTGACATTAGTGATATTGAGAGAGAGAGAGAGAGAGAGAGAGAGGGAGAGAGAGGGGGAGAGAGAAAGAGAGAAAGAGTGACATAAGGTTATCTCAAAAAATTTCCTCTTTCCGCACATGTTAAACGATCATTAATTGTGCCCTCGCACAGGTGTACTGCAAAATATTCTGCGCTGCGCGCAGGATAGTCCTGGACGAGATAAGAGCGCAGCTTCACCTGGAGGTGCACTGTCATCTCGATATGGAGCCGGCGGCCGCCTCGCAGCATCCAACGCCCGCCGTCATGAGCCGTCAATTAAATTCCGACATACAAACAAGTCAAAATAGTCCACCGGTAAAACAACATAGAAGTTCCAGCGCATCCACTACGGTGAGCATCCACGTCGACCTACGTTCCGAATCGATACACAGGGTATTACGATGGACGCGCACATCCATAAAAAAAAAAAGAAAAAAGATCCGCATTCGTAAATTTATCTTTTTCATTTCCACATTGGAAAAATGCATGCATTATTTATGACGAAATACAAACAAATATTTATTTCTGGCCCGGTTTTTAGCTCAACATGACATCTAAAGATGTCAACCGTGACAATGTTTACTTTGTATGAAAAAATTCTGCAGTTTACGCGTAAGATCTTATCACGTAGGTGATGTAAAGTTACCTACGTCGAAAAGTCTGCAGAACATTGCAAACTTCCGGAATCGAGCGCCGAGGTTGATAGCGAAAGAAAAAAGAGAAATTTCCGTACATTCGTGCGTTTGTTTTTATTTTCACCAACGGCAAAAAGAGAGCAGAGCAGTAGACAAGTTAGATAAGCGCCAGCACATTACTCAAACTTTTTCTTCCTTCCGACGTACTTTATTGATTCTAGTTATTATGCTCTCTTTTTTACATTTTCATTATGGAAAACTTGGAGACTTTAAATTCATTAGAATCTGCTAAGAAAGGAACATTGGAGGATGCATATATTATTGTTCTTAATGCTCGCTTTGTATTCGTAATATGAAATTTTCTATCACTCCGATGAATAAATATTTTCTTACTTTCATCGTTATTGGCATTTGCAAGTGCGTCACCTTCTTTGATACTTTGCGTAAACAAGATGTATATCTTGCAATAACGGCATAAATCCTCTTTTTCATTCTTGTGTCCGACGAACAACGTTCGATAAGCGACCTAAAATTCGAGGATATCCTTGAAATATTAACGCGCCTAATGCCCGCCGCCGCTCGAGATTTAATGTACTTTGGCATACTTCGGAAAATCATGAAAGGATCGATTTATCGCTCTCTCACGATCAAGTAGCACACTACCGTATGACGCTCCAATATTTCTTTGCATGTCGGTCCACAATCCCTAGCCGTTCTCTCGCATGAGAAGCACTCGAGCGCATCTCCGATACAACATGGTACATTGATCGCGGAATATGCATCGGTCGACCTTCGTGAAAGTGAAATTGATTGATTTCCCGATACACTTGACGTTGTACCAAATCACCGCAATTATGTTCGCAATGATACTTAAAAAAAGTCCAGTAAAAATCACGGGGATGTAGCGTTGACAGATTGAGTTATTACTCCCCAAAAGCAATAGTTGAGACTTGGAATTTTACAGATTCTACTATTGGTAACGTAATAAAAAAAGGGGGGGAAGAAAAAAGGGATGAAAAAGTTATGTGGGCATTTTTATCTTATTTTTTCTATCTATTGTATATTCAAATAGCTCAACTGTTGTGTTCCATTGGAACGAGAGGTACAATAATCGCGTGTATACACGAATAACGGCGACGTCTGCATAACGGCAACGATCGATGTTTATCCAACAGCAGCAACCAACCGACATTTTGCGCGTGACGTCAATTCGAATCGCGCGCGAACTGTCGGCGCCGATTGTTCGAGAGTCCAGCTATATTCCCGACACGAACAATGGGATGCTTTTTTCTGCAATATCGAATCGCCGCGCCAACAAGCCTTAAACATGCGATTCAAATCCCACGGAGCTTACCCCTTCTCTTTCAGTCTCTTTTCCTTTTCCTTTTTCTCAACCGCCGCCATTACGCGAATTTAACACTACATTTATCGATGATCGCAAACTTGTGCGGCCAAATTCACGGCAGAAGCAAAACGAGAATAGAGAATGGTTTCGAAACAGCTGGAGCTTTAAAATTACGACGAGTTTGAAAAATTACGACGATAAGCTGGGAAGACTCACGTCTCGCAGAAACAATCGAGTCAATCGCGAAGATCGTAATGAACTTCTTCAGTTACGTTTTTTTTCATTTCGCGCAGTTATACCGCTAATTAAAAGACGTCTTCTTCGCAACAAAGCTGAACAAAGAAAAGCGCCTCCGTCAAAATAGCAAAATTAACCGTTCACCACTGAATTTTCAATATGACTTAAATCTATATTTTTATTCTGTACCTCCTGTAAGTTTTTATTTCCAAAACGTAGCAACTAACGGTAATTTATAACATTATCAAGTCCCAACCTCAATGCAGACGCGAAGGAAGTCTGTCACAGTCTGCGCAGCACTATTGTACATTTTACAGCCAAACCGTGCCAAATCGATGCCGCGGACCCACCCAAAAGATGCTTTCTCCCCCCCCCTCTCTCTCTCCCTCTCTCTCTCTCTCTCTCTCTCTCTCTCTCTCTCTCTCTTTCTTTCTCTCTCTTCTACTCGTTTGTAAAGTAATACGCATGAGGATTCCGATGTACCACCTCGCCCAATCTCTGGTGCGATCTGCGTGCATAAAAAAAAATACTATGATTTAATCCGATGCTGTAAATACGGATCAATTTTGCTGACGTTTGCATTTGACTAATTAGTTGATGTTTGGATTTGATTAATTAGTGAAGTAAAATTATAAGTCAGCCATTTTGACGAGAGAGACAATATGAACTCTTAAGGATTAGTAAAATTTCAATTTGTTATTTTTGTAGCAAGATCTTAAACGTTAAAAGTTAAAATAAGATTCGGTCGTGTTCTGATCAAAGAGCAAAAGTGTACATAAGAATCGAAAAAATACGACCGAAGGAGAGACGAAAATGTGACGACAATTGAAAAACGCTTTGCATGTATGAAGAGAAATGCAGGCTCTTCGTAGAAAATGGTAAGATATGAGAAATTCTGCTGCGACGATACGTTGCAACACCATGTTCTCGAAGAAGACAGAGAATGGCATCGAGAGAAACTCGAGAATATGGACATATAATTCGCAATATAGAGAATACAGAAGATCTAGAACTCTTCGTAAGCTTCTGCAAGACGTCGTTCGCTCGATACTTGTATATTTCATTACGTCGTACACTTATATTATTTTAGAATCGCAGACACCTTCGATATCTTCCATCCGCTCATATCATCCCGCGATACCGAATCGCTATTGATCCGTTCTGCGGCGAAGATGACGAGAAAGTTAAATGGCGAGGCGCCTGGGAGAAATTAATTGGATGACAAACGAGTTTGGAAGTAATAATTCCGTTTCGAACTGTTATCAGCCGCCTCGCTCAGATCGTTTGCGCAAACTTAAAATTGCTACACATAACAGAAGGCGGCTCCCGACAGATGAAGCTCTTTCACTGAGCCAGCCTGTATAATATCGTTGTTCAAAAAGTAACCGAATATTAATTCGTTCGCCTAAGAGCCCAGATATAGACAGGTATCGTGCTCGACGACGGCGAGGATCTGCTAGATATTGCGAGGCACTCAAACGCGAGGAACAATATTCGCGGCAGATTTTAAATCTCTGCTCACATTTTCGCGAAATAATAACTCTCACTTCGTACGCATGGCCGGGCCTATTATGTGATAGACGATAACAATGAACGCCCGGCAAAATTCATCGCGGAAAACGCTCGCTCTCCCTACGCTCCGCGAACTTATCATAACATTAGCCGCCCGTCGCGGAATTAATTTCTCACGCGGTATGCGCGCATGCATGTAACACAAGAACCACCAGATAAATTGGCCGTCGGGCCACCACCCACCACGAAGTTGGTAATCGCGGGTCCGCAGCTTACCTCGAAATCAGGTTAAACCGTAAAGTCAATATTGTAGCTCGTAGCTGTGCGAGAGGACGCGGTGAGAGAGACACGATAGGTAGGTACATCATTTATATCCGCGATCGCAAGTCCGATATCATCGATAATCGATGGACAAGATAATGAGGAGACCTCGTGATCGTCGGTATCGTCAATACTCGACTCGGATTCGTCTTACGATCTACTAGCCGTGTTGAACGGTAAATACGGATGGAGTCGAGGAATGAGGAGCAGTCATAAGGAGGTTCTGCTATAGATTAGTCTGATATATTCTCGCATCTGACATACTCTCAAGAATCTAGAATATGCTCTACGTGCCTCTAATGTATGCAGGTTTAGTCAGAACTATGTGACGAGCGTCTTCTGTCTGTGGCGCAGACCACAATACGTTTTGTCGTGCCGTAACATGAGACGATTTCGCAATGTATATTCAATGATTAGTGTTGCACTGTTAATAGTGTTAGCGATTCATTCCGATTCAAGAACATGCGGGACGCATGGTAGCGTTTGCATTGCACGAATCTCGTTCTCGTCAACTGATTTGTATCGACGAGAGAAACTTCAGCATCTCCGAAAAGGGCCAATTCTCCTCCCGTCATCTTGCTTCGCCGCAACAGAATCTCGCCTCTCTCGGCGGAATTTTTATTGCAACATCGTGAGCTTTGAAAGCTAATACAGTTCGAAAGCTTTACGCAGCAACAATCTTTTCACAAAGGACTTGTTGAGCCCACGTATAACACTTGGCTCTTCGTATAACACTTGATATTCGTCGTTTTTCCTTCTCCTCTTGTTTTCCTTCCATCTTATTCTCACTCAAACAACGCGGTGAGTAGCGATTGATGATTTGAGCGAACATGATTTGTCGAGTAATCGTATCAAAATCCGACGGAAAGGCATTCTCATTTCATGAGTGATTTCATGAATTCACAGATGTCAGATGATTATGCAGATAAGTGGATCTCTCTGCACGCGTAAATACTTGAAAATGTATATTTGACAACGCTCATGGGAACGAACGGCGAACGTCGCGATATGCAACTCATATCACACTGGGGAATAACGGGGCGTGGTACGATGTTTGCCTAGCGTTAACATTCCAGCCGGTATGAAAGTAGCTATATGCGAAGCACAATTTTCAATATTAATACGACGCATAAGCAGCGTAATTAGTGAGCGTCGAGAATTGTATCATGTGTGTATAACATGCACGGCGTATCCGAAGTAACATGCGCCTCAGCTACGTGGAAATCCCCTGTGAAATTCTAAGGCGATTATCTTCCGCTAAAATACCGTGCGAATAATTACAAAAAGTTTTGCCACTAATC